TCAAGTCCCAGTGATTTTATAACTGACAGTGAGTTTCAGATGGATAACAGTGGGGGTGTAATATTTAGGAGTTTGTATGAGGAAAATATAAGCTATATCCCTAGAAGAACTTCAGTGGGTTAATTTTCCCCAGATATGTTAGTCCTTGAATTTGCTAGTGGCAGGATCAATAGTAATAGTAGGATTAGTGAGTCGTAGCTGTCACTGAGATTCTTGTATAGGTTATCTACATCAGTGATATAATCTATTTTCTTTATAGAACAGCCAATTATAGCATGAGCATGACAAACGGAATTGCAAGAATATTACAAATGAGGTCTTATTCTATGGTCTATAAACAAGCTAAACTTACAAATCTTGCTTCTGGAAAAAACAGAGATCTAGAATGATGACAAAGAAAAAAGTAATCAGCAACGTTTATTTCTTCACAGAACATACATTTCACCTATTCAAAGGACATGTAATATGCTTTCAGTTATTATTGTCACACAGTTACTCAATGAGTATTTTGGGGCTGATATGACAGATCAGAGACTGTTTAAAACACTGAAATTTGTAGTTCTCACATCTATGGTAATTTGGCTTGCTTTCTTAATGTTTCCCTAGTATTAGTGCATGGTTATAGGTTCAAAGGGAAAAAAGAATACTGTTTGAGAGTATGTAGCTTAATGATTTTTTTTAAGATTTTATTTATTTATTTGAGAGAGAGAGAGAGAACAAGTAGGGGGGAGCAGAGGCAGAGGCAGAAGGAGAAGCAGGCTCCAACGACCCAGGGCTCCAACCCAGGACCCTGAGATCATGACCTGAGCTAAAGGCAGACACTTAGCCAACTGAGCCACCCAGGCACCCCAGAAGTATAATGATTTTTTTAAAAATTTTGGGGTATTTTGTGCTTTTATCTATTGCTAAAAAAATTTGTCAGCAAATCATCTCTGAACTTTTCCATATCTTTGTATCTTCCTGTCTTTTTTCCTTTTCTCTGTCATATAGATATATTAATATATAATCATAATGTATTGCTATAATTAATATACTATATTAATTAATAATAATATGTTAATACATATATGAATCTAATTGGTATTCTACATATAAGGGAAGAGATGAAAAGATGTAGAATAAATTAAGTTAGATATAAATATACTAATAATATATTAGCCTGTACTAAGAAATACATGTGTTAATATAAGCATATATATTAATCCAGTTGGGGTATGAGTATATATGCATATCAATTGGATTAGTCTCCTTCTTTCCATTTTCTTGCTTTTCCTAAGAATGAGCTATTTATTTTTTTAAGATTTTATTTATTTATTTGACAGAGAGAGAGACACCGAGAGCAGGGACACAAGCAGGGGGAGTGGGAGAGGGAGAAGCAGGCTTCCCGCCGAGCAGGGGCTCGATCCCAGGACTCTGGGATCATGACCCTAGCTGAAGGCAGATGCTTAACGACTGAGCCACCCAGGCGCCCCAAGAATGAGCTGTTTAGATGAACTTGCTGTTTTGATAGAGACAGTGGGACTCGTTTAGCCTGGACCACACTTCTGCTTAAGCACCTACTATGTGCTCAGAGTGTCCTAGAAACAGAGATGAATGTGATAAACATATCCTTGACCTCATGGAGCTTACAGTGAAGTTGGATAGACACTAAATAAATGATCACATGTATATTGTCTCTATAGATTCTGTAATCATGTCAGTGACAAAATGTTAGGAAGGAAAAGAACAAAGTTCTATGAGAGGATGTGAAAGAGGCCTTCATCTGGTAAGGGTAAGGACCAGTGGAGGCCCTAAGTGACAGGTAAACTGACCTCGAAGGAAGGATGGAGTTAGCCAGATAAAAGTGAGGTGTAGATGTTATGGGTTGAGGGGACTGCATAGGCCAAAGCTGTTGTTGGATTACTTGTAGATAAGAAGAAAGAGAGTGAAGGAATTACGATTTCTTCAACACCACACTGAGCAGGTTACTGATGTTAGGACACGATCTGATCACCTGAGGTTCGGAATACTTTACTAATTCTTAAGCCAATCTGCGTCGGGTACTGGGGATGCAGAGATGAATGATATATGATTGATGATCTGGGGGAACTCAGTAGAATAAAGAAGCTACAAACAAAAAAGCCCCGCAATACATTTGCTAATCAAAGAAATTCACATATCTAGAAGATGCTAGCAGAACATCAAAATGGAAACCAACGAGTTACTCCGGGAGTGCCAAGGAAAATTTCCTGAAGGAAGTACTGTTTGAGCTGAGTTCTAAAGGATGAATAAGCTTCTTCCTATAGGCAGAAAGTGGTAAGGCCCTTCCAGGTAGAGGCTCCATCAAATGCAAAGGCGTGGACCCCGGAAAGAACACGCCCAGTCAGGGAACTAAGCTCCTGAGGGCATTGATGCAAGGGGAAAGGGACGTTGAAGCAGCGATCAGGGGTCAGATGAGACAGAACCTAACCTGCCCTGCCTTGCAACTTTGATGTCACATCTAGGAAATAGGGAGCCAGTTAGGGTTTGTGTTTTCTAAACAGCCTGAAGGCTGTTGGTGCTCTGGAGGAGTAGCTAGAAGGGGACTGAGCTTGGAAAAAGGTGGGACGAATGTAATGGCCCTGGGAAATGAGGGTCCTCTCTGCTAGCCAGAGGGTAGCATAGTTATTTTTAAGATAATGTGGAATTAAAAATAAATGGAAATTTTGTAACAGTATAGGAAGGAAGAAACAACATAAATAAATTTTATAAATCTTTTATTTTTTTTTCCCAAAGAACAAAAGAAGTGCTACAAACCAATGAGACACGTAATAAAGAGTAACTTTCACATTGTAAGTGTGATGCATAGATAATTCTTTATCACAAAATGATCAAAACCTTAACCTGTGTATACTTTTTGAAAACTAAATGTGAATCTATATTTAAATAGCTCAAACATCTTTTCAAAACTTTACAAGTACAAATCATTGTGAAGTTTGCTTTTATTCCTAAAAAATGCAAACAATGCATTTCTATTAAAAAAAAAAACTAGAAATAGGGAATTTGCCTATTTCCTAGCTTCTTCATCTGTCCAAAACATATATTTAGTGACTAGAATTATAGTACTCCTAGTAAAATGGTTAATACACACCATAAAATCAAGATTTAGTAAGTCATGACATTATGCCATACTAAGAAGACATGAAATGTCTAAAATTATAGGAAAAAAACATTAGTTCTTATAGAACTTAAACATTTAAAAATTCTAAATAAGGAAGTATATTTTATACAGATAACTGCATGTTACACCAGCTTTTTAAGGCAATATAACTCAGCATCCCAGAGTCAAGAGCAAGGAAACCTAACATATTCCCCAAGAAACGATACCAAAATATCTCCTATTTCATGAGGCGTGAAGATAACAATTTACCTCCACCTACAGCATTCTAATGAAATAACATTCACATATTAAACCCACAGCCTTCTCAGTAACACTGTAAGGAATATATTCTAAAAATACAAGTCACTTTGAAAGCTTAACGACCACTGATTCTTGACTCACAATTTAATCAATTGCCAAAGATTTCAAATAGCACAGCAGATAAAATAACAGCAAATAAATAGCAGGAAATACTGTGTTAAATACTTCATAAGCTGAGCATTAAGCTTGAGGGACAAACATAGGTGCCTCCCCACCATCCTTTTCTCAAAGTGGGAAATTGATGAAGAAGCCTAACTCATTGGAGAAAACTTGTCCTTGCTTCTTGTCTTCACTGGTTCCTGAGACACTCAGGAAACTGCTCTGCTAAGGAACTGGGCGATTTTTCCAGTGCATGGTCCTTTCTCTTAATCAGTTTTTCTTCCGCTGTTGAGAAAAGAATCATATTAGTTTAACCAAGTTTCTACACTCCTGTCTACTCAGACCCGTTTTCAAAACACAGAGCTTAAGAGCAATGAAAAAAGGCAAAGGGTGGACGCAAGGACTATACTAACAACAACAAAAAATACATCTCAGTAATGAGCTCTATGGAACCACTTAGGTAATTACATATGAAATTGGTGCTAGGAGGCTTCCCAGGACGTTCCACAACAACTTCTCCCCTTTCTCTTGAACCATCTTTTATTCTAGCGTGGTCTGGAATGTGGTAGGCAAATCCCAGGCAGAGAATAAGGACCTTGAGAAGTCTGCACTCTCAAAAGAGAATAAAAAGCACAAAGATCAAAGCGGCAGGGTACCTGTCCAAAATTTTCTGGATGACTTTCTTCATCACTGGGGTTTCTGGGTCCAGACAGACTTCCTTCTTGTTCTTCAGGGTGGCTCTGCGGAAACAAAAAGAGGATGAGCCCTTGAGCCCTAGGGGCTCAAGACTCGGGCTGAGAGACTTCTCGCTTGTCAAGGTCACAGTGGACACCGCAGCGCAGGAGGACTTACAGGACTTCCACCTTGGAGCACTGTGGGCCGGCAGCGATCACCTGAATCTTAGTGATCATTCTGGGATGAATCCCCTGTGTGGTGGTTAAACACACGCAACGCAGCTCCCTCACTATGGTCGAGACGGGACCGGCTGCGGGACAAAGAGAGACACCGTTCTAGGGCGGGTTGGCGGAGAGCTCTTCCCCGCGCAAGCCCGCCCGGGCCACCTCCCAGCGCCGCGACCGCCGCCGAGGCTGGGCGTGCCGCTCGGCCCGGGTGCCGGCCGCGTGCTGTGCGCTCTCACCGCTGGCGAGGGGCCCCGGCGGCGTCAGCAACAGCAGCAAAAGCAGCGCGCACAGCGAGCCCGAGGTGCCAGGGAGGCGGGCGGCGCGGCTGGGCGGGAGGCTCATTGCGGCAACCAGGGTGGTGAGGGGTGCGGTTCTAGAGGCAGGAGGGGAGCCGGGATCTGAAGCTCCGGAGCACTGTGGCCTCCCCCAAGTGCTTTGCATCCCTTTTATCGGCACGGGCCCCTTCCCCCCGGGCAGGAAACTCAAGCGTTGGGATGCTCGGGAAATTCCCTGGATGAAGGGGGGCGGGGCGGGAAGGGGAGCAATGGGTGGAGGGGGGCTGAGCAGAGGGAGTTGAGGAGGAGGGTGACTGGGAGGAGCTGCCTCCTCCTCAGCTGGTTGCTGCAGGGATTTCGTCCCCTAAGCCAGCCAGGGCTAGCGAAGGCCGGCTTCTCCTGGGGACGGAGCCCTTTGGGAGAATCCCCTCGTTCCCATCTAAGGAGGAAAACTGGAACCAAACTGCCAGGTTTGACTTTAGAAAAATTTATGAACGATCTTTCTAATTTATCATCATCATCATCATCATCATCATCATCATCATCATCATTCAGGAAAGTAAGCTGTGATTAAAATTGCACTAAACAGAAAGGCCTTCCTCTTCGGCTTGCAGGCAGGTCATTCTAGGTTTCTGACTCGAATTAATTTCTGATTCTTTGGATTTCGGCTAGCTTTAGAGGCCAAGATACTTTGATGAAAATATCTCTATTCCCGCTTGAAGCCGGTGGCAGGAAGGGACTCCCAAATCAATTCTGCTAACTGGAAATGCTGTCCTTGTAGCTTAGCAAGCATTGGCGTGGCCGGGTGGTCTTCCAAAATCTTCAAAAATCACTAAGCAATTTGCCCTGTAAGATGATGCCTTGCTTTCGGCAGTTCAATACACTGGTGAATTGGAAGAGGTGGGTCTTTTCTGGGGGGAGGGGATATGATGGGGTGCGGTGAGTGCAGACTAAAGCGGAGTCCCAGCTGAGCCTGTTCCAGCGATGGCTCCAGACTCTGGCCAGGTGTGTAATTGACCCAATTCTGACAAGCTGTGGGAGGCTGATGACTTTGAGGAGCTCTTCTGGAAGTTTGGTGTGGGGATTTGAATCCATGTGGCAGCAAGACAGCACCAACTCTGGTTTCGCTCAACTTCGTGGGAGAGAAGAACCACAAGCTTCTGGAGTGATTCAGCATCATGATCAGTGGCTGCTTTAATCCACAGGTCTGTTTGAATCCAGGTGAGCTCAGAGCTGCCCCCTGAAGTTGAGGGGTGAGGTAGCTGGAAAAGGGGTGAGGTAGCTTCCAGCTTCCTCACCCTCTCTCTTCTCTCTCTCTCAACTGTGGAAATAGAATGCTGAAGTTTTAAAGGTAGGTCTTTCACATGTCTAACTCTGTGGAAGGCATGAGTATGATATTGGAATGACACATGGGCTTTCGTTCATGGAACTCTAACTAAATCCTCTTCTGGATTGTTCTCAATACCCTTGTCCTCACAGTAGGCCAGCAAAGGCAATGGGTAGACATGACAGCAACTGGAAGCCAGTCATGGAAAGAATTGCTTTCCTTGTCCCCGAAGACCCTGGGGAATTTTATTGACTCCTCCACATAGCTTCCTTGGCAGAACATCACCTCCATTGGTGAACAAGGAGGAGGTCTCATAAACCTTTAGAACTTTGGGTCTGAAAGGAAACTTGAGAAATTGACGAAGACTGGGAGGTTTGGCCTCACTTTTGGGGAAGCTAAATGGGAAGTTTTCTGTTCTGCACAGCTTCCTGATACCATCAGCATCATACCTGACTCAGCTAATATAATCCTTCATCCTTCTAGGGAGTGGTAATCTGGGAAAACAACCTGCCTACAGATTTATTATATTGACTTTTTAGAGATTAGAATGCATCTAAAGACAAAAGGTAAGCCTCACTGATGTGAATAAAACAAAACTTCAAAAACGTGACTAAAAATCTTGGGCAGTTAAATTCAGCTTAACCGCAGCAAGTAAACCACAATATAATAAGACCTTGAAAAAAAAGCTTCATGACATAGGTTATTTAGGGGTGTGTATGTGTGTGTGTGTTTAGATCAGTTCCAAATAACCTATTTAAATATAAATGAACTTATGGGTTATTTTGGCACTAAATGGTAAGATCAGAGAAGGGTCATGAGACATGATTTCCAGTTCCTCCTGACATTCTTATAGATGTGCGTGTTTCACTGGTTTGCATTCTGAATCAATTTGCCATGGATTATTTACAGAATATAAGGCAAAAAAAATTTCTTCACCTGGCGGGCAGGTAATAGAAAGTCCCCAGGAGATGTAGGCTGTTGGGTTGCCCAACCTAACCAGGAAACGGTGTGTAACTTAACCTGGGTTCTCATTGGAATCATTCTGGCCCACTGCCCATGCCTAGCTCCTGTCCAGGCATCACTGGTGTGGGCCTTCTGCAAAGACAGCTAGGAATGTGGATGGTCCAAAGACTCCCTGATGTTGAGAATGACAGCACCAAGTACCATAGGAGGCAGGGTTCTTTAAAAGTAGTTGTTTCTTTTAAAGGGAGGCTATTTGCCTTACCTGCACTCTGTCTAGGTAGTGGAGAAAGGCACTGCATTATTTTTGTCCCTAAATATAATCAAACAATCCACAAAATGACATTGACATCCTCATAGCCTGAAAGACTGACTTGTTTGTCAGAAGCAATCGAATTTTAGTCATAATACCACAGACTAATGTAATAGGAATTAAAACATTCTTAATGGTTTGTGGCTTCCGAAACACTTTCATGCTCATTATCTTTTGAGCCTCATATCGATTCTTTGAAGCAGATAAGAAAAATTCTCCTATCCTCATTTTAGGAGCAGCTTCTCCTGTTGACAGGGGATGATACACAGGAAATAAGAAGTTGAGAATTAAAGTCTTACATGTTTCCAAAAGCCCTGGGCTTCTCAGAAATAGAACCATCCATTTGGTCTGGGCTAAGCAAATAATAATAATAATAATAATAAAATTTTTAAAAATCATAACAGTAAGGCCAGAGAGTTAAGTAGAAAAGCAACGACTAGAAGTGAAGCACTAGAGAATCTGTCACAAGAATTTTTTTAATTGGGTAAAATTGGTCCATGATATTATGTAAGTTCCGGGTGTACAACATTTAATTCATTATAATTCGGTATCTGTACACTACAAAGTGATCACCACTAGAAGTCTAGATACCATCCATCACCATATAATTGACACCCTTCACCCATTTTGCTCACCCCCTCCTCTCTTCCACTCTGGTAACCACCAGTCTGTTGTCTGTATCTATGAGTTTGTTTTTGTTTCATTTTGTTTGTTCATTTGTTTAGTTTTTTTTTTTAGATTCTACATATAAGTGAAATCATATGGTATTTGTTGTTCTCTGGCTGACCTAATTTACTTAGCATAATACTTTTAAGGTCCAAGGTTCATCTATGCTGTTACAAACAGCAAGACTTTATTCTTTTTTAGAGCTGAGTAATATTCCGTCATTATTCCATATATATGTGCACACACCACATCTTTATCCATTCACTCACTGATGGATGTTTAGACTGTTTCCATTTCTTGCCTATTGTAAATAATGAACCTAGGGGTGTATATATCCCTTTGAATCAGCATTTTTGTATTCTTCAGATAAATACCAAGAAATGGAATAGCCAGATCATATGGTAGTTCTATTCTTAATTTTTTAAGGAATTGCCATATTGTTTTTCATAATGGCTGCACCATTTTACATTCCTACCAACAATACACGAGTGTGCCTTTTTCACCACATCCTCTCCAATGCTAGTTATTCCTTGTCTTTTTGATAATAGCTATTCTAACAGGTGTGAGATGATATCTAATTATAGTTTTGATTTGCATTTCTCTGATGATGAGTGATGTTGAGCATCTTTTCATGTGTCTATTGGCTATCTGTATGTCTTCTTTGTTCAAAACCCCTCCCTATTTTTTCATTAGGTTGTTTTCTGTTTGCTTTTGAATTGTATGAGTTCTTTATATATATTGGATATTAATCACTTATCAGGTATATGATTTGCAAAAATCATCTCCCATCCAGTAGGTTGATGATGACTTCTTTTGCTGTGCAGAAGCTTTTTAGTTTAACGTAATCCCATTTGTTTATTTTTTCTTTTCACAAAAAAATTTTAATGTTTTTCAGATTACACACTATATTCTTCACAGTCACTAGCAAATACCCCATGGCTCTCCATATCTGGTTAACCACTTGTATTGCAAAACAAACTGAAGAAACAAACATATTTTAAGCTGTTGAAATCCCCAGTCTGTGTATTCCTGGCCTTTGAGGCAACACTGATGTCAAATAGCCAAGAGATTTCCAGATTAACCAGCCTGAAACTGTCACCTGCTTTCCAAATTCCTCTCTTCAAGACCAGTGTGAGGTCCTGTCTTCCCGGAGAAGGTTTATTCTGGCAAAGCCAATTGTTATGTATTCTTTTTATCTTCAGTCTTTGAATATCTAATGTACTTGTGAAAACTGTCTCATGAGACAGAGTTTATTTATTCCTTAATTTTGCATTTGTCTCTCTCCAGTCAATTATAAACTCTTTAAAATGAGGGGTGATGGAAATGTTGAATCACTATATTGTACACCTGAAACTAATATTATAGTGTATGTTAACTAACTGAAATTTAAATAAAAACTTAAAAAAATAAAATCAGTGGTAACGTCTTCTATTTCTCACATAGCCTCCTTATATTCCCAGCTCAGTAACAGTCTATGAACATTTAATGACAGATAATGATAACTTTTTATTTTGCAATGTTCTCTGAATTACAAGTGGACCTTAAAGTCAAGGAGAAGAGAATAGGGTGGTTTGCTGCCATTAATCATTTGAACTCCTCAATTTTGAATTAGCTTTCCCCCGTGTTGAAAATTATTTCATGGTTATTCTTAGGGACAGTTCAAATGATATTTTCAGTCTTTGGAATTTGAACTATTCAAAAGAATGTTCAGAAACCAGCAGGATATTTGATATTAAAAGAAAAAGATTATACAACTACAGTATCAACCAAATAAAATTTTTCTGGGACTTAGAGATTGTCGGAGATAAATGATAAGGAAAAGTTCTGGTTAAGTCATACTGTATTGAATGTTAATGGTGTGGTACTATTATTTGAAATTGATCTCTTCCAACAAATCAAAGAGGCCTTTAATTGTGTGATTAAGTATATGACCTAGGCCTTTTAAATATTCTTCTAAGTTTCAATTTATATTACATTATTTTTAAGAAATGCTATATGATTACAGTAATGAAAGATGTAAACATACAATTGTCAGGTTAGGCGCAACAAAGATATCAGTAAAAGAATTTACTGATCAGTAAGAGTTTAAGTAGAGGATAGAGTTACTTGCTTGTATGCAAAAGAAAAGGAAAAAGCCAGCTCCTTATGGGTTAGCTTTACAACATCCATGCAGTCTCTCTCCTTCCACATTGGATTGGCAGTCCGATGAAGAAACAGTATTATGTAGGGAACAACTTTACTTCAAAGTTGCCCCAACTGTACTGTGAAATATCAGAAATGTTTTCCCTTCTCTTGTCCATTCTCTAATTTTCCTTGCTGCCCATTTCAGATTAAGTCTACTTGAGAAAGGAGTAAATCAATGATCCTTAATTGGGTTCAAACTGAGCAAGGCTCCAAGTAACCATAGATGGACTTTATCTTGCCACCTCCTGGGTGGATAGGGTAGCTAGTTATTTTTGTTCATCTGTGCAAAGGCTGCAAGATGTTTTGTTGACAAGAGAAGATACAAAGACGAGGATTAAATCTTATTTTCCAAATAAATCTATATTTCCAAAAGCCCTGGGCTTCTCAGAAATAGGAAGCATTCATTACTTTCTTCAGAAATTGGGTCTGGGCTCAGCAAAACAACAACAAAAATCTTTTTCGGGGTTAACTATTTTAAATAAGTTTTTTGAGAAGTCATTTATCTGATACTGCAGAAGTCCTTTATGAAAATTAGACTTCAAATGCTGTACTTAACAATGGTCATTTACTATACTGTTTTTTGACTACCATTACCTTCATACTTTTCTAATTTAAGAGAATATCCGCTTCTTCATGAGCCACAATATCTTTCATTCTCATTTAATATATATTAGAACCTCATTGATTGCTGCTTTAATAGGAATAATTGTGATGTATTTGTATGTTTGTGGTTTATATACTTTGAAGATAATCAAAACCCTCTGTTGGCCTCCCTTGTCATCACTTGAACAAATAACAAGACTCATCATTTGACATGTATCTAAAATGATGTTCATCTTGACGTAAAAGTCAAACACACACACACACACCACCACCACGACCACCACCACCACCACCACCAACAACAACAACAATGCTATGGTCCAAATGTTTGTGCTCCCCTCTCCAGATTCATATGTTGAAATCCTAACACCCAGTATGATTGTATTAGGAGGCCAGGCCTTTAGGAAGTAATTAAGTCATGAGGGCAGATCTCTCATGAATGTGATTAGTGCCCTTACAAAAGAGCCCCCACTGAAGTCCCACACCCCTTCCTACCAAATGAAGACACAGCAAGAAAGTGCCATCTATGAACCAGGAAACAGGTTTTCACCAGACACTGAACCTGCCAACACCTTGAACTCGAACTTCCCAGCAGTGTCCAGAGCTGTGAGAATAAATTTCTGTTGTCTATATAAAGATCAAGAGAAAAATAAGAATAGAACGTATCTTATAGTTGATTTCTTGCCACAAATTTTTTTGTAAATCTGATTATGAATTCTCAGTGAATAACTACTTTTATGCATTTTTGAAACATTGCCATAAGAGGGGGTGTGGGGATGGGCAAAATAGGTGAAGGAAGTGGGAGGCATAGGCTTCTAGTTACGGAATGAATAAGTGATGGGGATGGAAGGTGAAAATGCATAGGGAGTGTAGTCAATAATATTGTAATAGCATTGTATGGTGATAGATGATAGCTGCACTTGTGGTGAGCATAGACTAATGTATACAGTTGTCAAATCAATATGTTGTATACTGGAAACTAATGTAACATTGTGTGTCAAAAATTAAACTTCAATTTAAAAACATTTAATTAAAAATTTGCAAAAAAAAAAAAACAGCAAAAAACCTCATCTCCTTGGCCACAGTTAATGAATTTTTTTTTTTTTTAAGAATTGAGAAATTGATCCTACTGACATAAGAGGTGTTGTAATACCAAAGCAAAAATCACAAAATCCTAGAAATTCTGGCTAAAGCTGGGCTATGAGTAGCATACTAACCAGTTGGGATTTTAAAGCATGGCTTCCCCTGGGGAGTAAATTGACAAAACCACTTGAGTAAATTACTTTGCTTTGAATCATTTTGGTTTCCAAAAAATTCAGCATTAGTAAATCAGACTGCAAGTCATTTTCTTTGGAACTGACTGTACCTTGGAAACAGCTTTTATTTTTCCCTAATTTAAATTTGAGAACCAGACCGGTGAATGCTATGACCAGGCATTATGTCATAGAAAAGAGAAAAATAGTAGTCACTAATGTATTAGGAAAAAAACAAAGCTGGTTTCTCTCATATTATGATTAGGTACAAATTAGTTGTTTGTAATAAATTAAAGTTATGAAAGTTTGATATGAAGTGTTTCCAATTAGCTTTCTATGAATGTTTGAAAATAAAATCATAATGTAAATTTAGGCAGTACAATTGGTGAAGGAAAAAATTGGTAAGTTGAACTTTATTAACATTAAAATTTTCTGTTCTGCAAAAGACACTACCAAGAGAAGGAAAAGACCAGACCAGGATTAAATATTGGTAAAAGACATATCTGATAAAGTACTGTTGTCCAAAATATACAAAAAATGCTTAAAACTCAACAATAAGAACAAAAATAATATGATTTAAAAATCATACAAAGACCTTAATAGATGCCTCACTAAAAATATATGTATACAGATGGCAAATAAACATATGAAAAGATGGTGCACATATGTCAACAGGGAAATGCAAATTAAAAAAACAATGATATATCACTATGCATATATTAGAATGACCAAAATCTAGAATACTGATAACACCAATTGCTGGTGAGGATGTGGAGTAACAGAAACTCTCATACACTGCTGTTGGGAATGCAAAATGTCAGTTTCTTATAAAACTAAACATACAGCTCAACAGTCATGTTCTTTGGTATTTACCCAAAGGAGCTGAAAACTATGTCTGCACATAAATCTGTAAATGGGTGTTTAAAACAGCTTTATTCATAATTGCCAAAACTTGGAAGCAAGCTAGATGCCCTTCATTAGGTCAACAGATAAATAAACTGTGGTACATCCAGACAATGGAATATTATTCAGTGCTGAGAAAGACATGGAGGAAGTTTAAATGCATATTTAACCCAATCTGAAAAGCCATACAATTCCAACTGTATGACATTCTAGAAAAGGCAAAACTATGGAGACAGTAAAAAGATCAGTGGTGCTAAGGTTTAGGGGCTAGGGAGAAGGAGCACAGAGGATATTTAAAGCAGTGAAACTATTCCGTGTGATATTGTAATGGTTGATACCTGCCATTCTACATTTGTCCAAACCCATAGAATGTACTACACCAAGAATAAACACTAGTGTAAACCTTGGACTCTGGATGATAATGATGCATCCATGTAGGTTCAGCAATTGTAACAAATGCACCATTCTGGTGGGGGATGTTGATAACAGAGGAGGCTATGCATATGTCAGGGCAGGGGATACATAGCAAATCTCTATACCTTCTTCTCAATTTTGCTGTGAACCTAAAACTGCTCTAAAAACAAAGCCAATTTTAACATCTTAAAAATTAAATTCTAAAAAGAAAAAAGATGTTTTTTCAGCCATTCATTAATCATTTCCCTATTTGGATGCTATTTCTATGCCACTAACTTTTTGTGTAAACTTAACTTATCACTTCTTTAAATGAAAGTACCAATACCTTTTTTTCTTCATAAAACTATCGAGAGGAACAATAGTTATGAAAACTTTTAAAAATATTTTTTATTTTTATGCTTTTAATTGAGATAAAATTTGCACAGTGAAATGCATATATCTTAAGCATGTGGGTCAATGAATTTTGGAAAATGTAAATGATTAATCAAGATAGAGAACATTTTCATCCTCTCAGAAGATCTGTGCTTATTTATTCAATCTCTCTTTTCCAGAAAAAAACTGCTATTCTGATTTGTAGTTTTGTCTACACTTGAAATTTATGTAAAGGGAATTATCCAATATGTACTCTCTTGTACTCTTTGGTGTCTTTTGCTAAACTTAGTATCTGTGAGATTCATCCACGTTACTGTGAATATTAATACCACACTCCTTTTTATTTAGTAGGATATTCCTTGAGTAATTGACATGAAGTATTCAATTGTACAAAGTTGCCAAAATTTGTTTATCCATTCGTTTGTGGATGGACATTTGGATCTTTTCCAGTTTTGGGTTAGCAATTTGACTATTAGGAAGAAAGCAGCTAAAAACATTATAAAATATTTTTGTGCATTGTGGGATAAAGATAGCCATAAATGTATTCCCTTTCTTCTCATTGAAATGTGGCATCTATCTGAATCTGAACTGTTTCTGTGACTGGTTTTGATCAATATAATTTGACAGAAATGATACTGTGTAACTTCTGA